AGAGAGTATGTGTCAAAAGATGAAACTGTAGTGGTCAGTCAAACAATTTTTGTGGAAGGTTGCTTGAGATTCTAGAGTTGGAATATCAAGTTATGCGAATAAAACAGATAATATTATTTAATTGTGAATGGTTCGGTCCAATGCCCAACGTTGGAATGAAAGTTCATCCAAAATATAATATAATAGAAGTTAAAATAGAAAAAGATACACAAAGTATGAACCATTCTTTTTGGCAATGCAAGCAACTTAAAGCGTACTATATTCCTTATCCATTAATGAATTGAGATGGATTGGATTGGATTGGATGGCGGTGTGCAAGATCAAAGCTAGATTAATTGTAGTATAAGTCCAAACTAAACAATTTACCTTAACCTCAATGTTTGAGCTATTTCAAGTCGATGAGATTGAACCGATAGAAATAGTTGAAGATTTAAGAGAAAGATTGGATAATGAGGATGAGATATATGTTGATATTGGTATGTCAAATGAAGATAATGAAGTGTAGCCCAGGTTTTAGGTACTTTAGAAAAAGAAGGAGACGAAGAAGACGAAGTAGAATGGGATAGAGAATCTTAAAATAGTTAGTTTATGTTAAACTTAACGAAATTATGTTGACCTTAAAATAGTTAGTTTTTGTTCAGCTTCGGGTGCCAAGGCTAGTATTCAGAACATGAAATTCTATTGCTCTCGGAATGCTTCAGCTGAGTTAATGGGTACTTCTGAATTGTGCAAGTTGTTTTGAGCGTGTTGCTAACTTAGGTCGCTATTTGGGGTTCCGCTAATCCATGGTCGAGTCACTAAATCTATGTGTCAATTTCCTATTGATAAGGTTCCCACTAGACTGAGTGGATGGAAGGCTTCCCAATTCAGTTTTGCGGGTCGATTTACTTTAATTCAATACGTTCTCTCTGCTTACCTTCTTACGTGATGCAATCGGCTGCTTTGCCTATCTCTATTTGTCATAACCTAGATGCTTTAGCTAGACAATTTTTATGGGGAAGAGATGGCAATGTATGTAAGATTCACTTAGTAAACTGGAAGATGGTGTGTCAGCCAAAATCCAAAGGAGGCATTGGTTTACGTCAGGCTGCAGTTGTAACCAAGGCTTTTTTTGCTAAAATTGGCTTGGCTTTGCAGAGATTTTAATTCTTTGTGGGTTCGGGTTCTTTTGGCTAAATATTTAAAAGAAGCTGTAGTTGATTGGAGAGAAGCTAAAGGTGTTGGTGGTTTATCCCTATAACGCGGTATCATTTTTCTTTTTCCTGATTGAAATTTAGCCTTGGATTGGTCTTTGGGTACCGATTCCTAGGTGAGATGTTGTCTTGATCATTGGCTTCCAGAGTTTGGTCCCCTTATTACTGAAGCTTTGGTTGATATTGATGCGTCCTGAAGGCATCAGTTCATCAATGAAATTAGTACCAATGGGAGGTGGGATATGGATTGGCTTCATACGGTTTTGCCTGAAGAAATTATCCAGAAAATCATAGCTATCTGCCCTCCTTCTTCTCATGGAATTGAGGATGACGTGATTTGGAATTCCCAACTTCTGTAAATTTGCCATATCCTCGGCTGTTGACTTGCTTATGGAGGCAGATGATGTTCATGGCTTAATTAAGGCCAGATTTAAATTGGAATAGCATGTGGAAGCGGTGCGGCCCCCAATGAGTTTAAACTGCTCTATGGTTGGCAGGCCATGGTCGGTTATTGACCAATGTTCAACATAAGCGACGTAAGCTTTGTGATAGGGAGTGTTGTTGTAGCTGCGGAGTCCTGGAAACATTCTCCGCGCTTTGCGTGACTGTCCTATGGTTCTTTAAGTCTGGAAAACTCTCGTTCCTCGGCCATTGCAGGACCATTTTTTTTCGTTTCTAATCTTTGTTTTTAGCTAAATGTCAACTTGGCTTCTTGGTTAGCTATTGACAGAAATATTCCTTGGTCTATTATCTTCGGTTTGATGGTTTGGCAGGCTTGTAGGAATGCTGTTATTTTTGCCTCAGACATGGTTTATTCTTTTTCTGCCCTTGCTATTCTTTCTTTGGCTTGCTCAGTGTACATAGCAAATAAAGAACAAATCTGTCTCCCTAATGCTCCTTCACACCATGTTGTTGTTTCTTAGGTTAAACATCTGCATGGGTGGGCCAAGGTCAATGTAGATGGTGTTGTGAGTTTCAGTTCCAACTGAAGTGCTGTTGGTTGCCTCATAAGAGATGACATGGGTTTCTAGAAAGTGGGCTTTTCTACTGCTATTAGCTTTTATGCTCCTCTTGTGGTTGGGTTATGGGCTATTTGGTATGGTCTTCATCTAGCTTAGACCAATGGCAATTGCAAGGTCTAGTTGACATCGGATTCCAAGTTAGCTGTATATATTGTTATTAATAGTCGGCCTTGGTATTGTAATTTTTAGTCTTTAGTTTGGAACATCAAGGAGATTTTGGCCAATGATTTGAATATTCATATTTCACACTCCATCTGTCAAACCAATAGTTGTGCTGACTGGTTAGCCAAATTTAGTTTAGAAAGCCATTCTCTTTATTCTTTTTCTAGGTTACCAGACTTCCTTGTTCGTTACTGTTGAGCAACGAGGTGTTACTACCTCTATTACGTAACTTTTCTTAAGCTTTGCTTCCTTCTATTAAAAAAAAAAACCTAAATTCATTTATTTAAATAATTTTTAATTACCATAAACTCGAAACCTAAACATCTACGGTTAGTTTGGGTTTTTACAAAATACAGTGTCCTATAAAGCTAAAGTAATTCCAAACTCCACATCTTTGACCTTGAAATGATGACTTAAATGGTATTACCAAATAGAACCAACTAATTAATCACAAACAACATATATATTGCTCCTAACAATTATTTAAATATTAATCACAAACAACATATATATTGCTCCTAACAATTATTTAAATTCAAGAAATATATTTTTGAAATAATTATTTAAAAATACTTTCCAAGAAAATATTACCTTGAGACTTTTAGACAGTGAAGTTGAGGGTTGACCATGATGTAAAGAGTAGTGAGTCAAGCCATAGATGACATAGCCCAACAAAGTACCTCCAAACACAGCAGGAGCAGTTAGGGGGTGCCTGTAAAATGAAACAAGTGCCAGAACTACAGGAAGGAATACATAGTAACTAAATTTTGTTATCAATTATATATATATATATATATATAATATGGAGAGAGAGAGAGAGAGATGGAAAAATGTATGTAGAATGCATGTATATACGAGCAGAGAGAAGAGTCGTTGCGAAAAGAGGCACGACAAGCCGAAAATGATCCATTGGATGCTTGTGATGCAACCCATCAAGAAGATATTGCATGATGTTTGCCCTAAATTAACCAAATACATTTTAATTGGTCCAATCAGTATCTTATATTTTAAGCTTCAATATTATTTATGGAAAATAACTTTTCTTTGAAAAATACTCTCTAAATAATTATTTTTGATTGTTTGGTTGCCACATTGAAAGTTATTTTAAAAATACTAAGATTTTTAACTTGTAGGACCATAAAAATAATTTAGAATTATAAAATTCTTTATTTTAAAAGTTTATTGTTAAAATGTAGAAATGCATAAAATGATAAATTGTTAGGCACCATTGATCGCTAGTGGTGGCCGACGGTGGTTGATGGCCAGTTGTGGTTGCCGGTGATTAATAAATTAAAATGTGTGTATTTATGAGGATATAATAAATTTGTCAATATCCGTAAAATTTTTTTCTCTCTTAAAAGTTAAGAAATTATTTTTCTTAAAAATGAGTTAGTTTTCTTTTGACTAGAAAAATATTTTTCCATTGACTGATTTTTCTAAGCATTCCAAATGTCAAAAAATCTAAAAAATATTTTGCCAACAAGTTTTTTTCCAAAAACAAATGGAGCCTTGTACTATGTAGTTTTTCTTTCTTTTTTTTTTTCTTTGAAACAGTTATGCATTGATCATATTAAGAAATAAGAGAAGCTTACCACTAAGTTTTAGTTTTGATCATATTTTGATTTTTACTGATTAATGAATTGATTTAATTTAAGAGAAATATCCATATCAAACTTTTTCAAACTCTTCTAAATTGAAGTTTAAAATCTATAGTAGATTTACAAAACATGTATCTATTTGTTTCTGGAAAATAACTTACAGCAAGGAAAATGTTTTCCTTGAAAATATTTTTCAAATAACTTTTTTTCCGTTGTTTAGTTACAATTTGCAAATTAGTTAAAAGATATTAAAATTTTTAACTTATAAGACCATAAAAATAAAAATACTAATAATATAAATTTCATAAGACCATAAAAATAAAAATACTAATAATATAAATTTCATATTTTAAAAATTTTATTATTAAATATGAGAATAATGCAAAAAAAAGGTAAATTATGAAAGTTGCCGGTGACAGTGGTGGTAGCTGGCGATGGTCGATGGTGGCTGGTGACCGGTGGTGGTAAACGGTGAGTTGTAGTAGTGGTTATCCATCATTAATAAATTAACAAAATATGAATTTATAAGGTTATAATAAATTTATTAAAATCCGGAAAATGTTTTACGCTCTTGAAGATTAGAAGTCATTTTCGTTAAAAATGACTTAATTTTCCTTTGACCAAAAAAATATTTTCCGCTAACTTATTTTCCTAAACGCGAAACAATGAAAAATTATAAAAAGCATTTTCTTGCGAGTTATTTTACAGAAATAAACGGAATGGTAGAATTTTAGTCTGTCCAACATATGTAATAATACAATAATCAAAGTTAATTTTAAATATTCAAATTAGTTCATGGAACTCAAAATTATACACGAAACTAATAATAAATTCTGTTTGGAAAGAAAACGTTAGGATTAGACTTATTGGCTGTATGAACTGAATTTAGGTAAATCTTTAGTGAATAAGCCCGAAAGGGTCTCCTAAATTACAATGTCAGAACTTATCATCAAGGGAAACCAGGGGTAGGCAAGAAATTGACTAGAATCAAACCCACTCTCTCTATAAAAAAGAAACTCAGATAGCTCCACTTCCACAAAACACAAAACCAGCAAAATGGCTTCTTCAATCTCTTATTCAATACTTATCTTTTTCCTTCTGCTCTCACCTTCTTGCATTCTTTCAGGTCCAATTGTCGACTCTTTTCTCCAATGTCTGACACTCAATTCCGAAGTCTCAATTCCTTTTTCTACTTCATTTTACACACCAAACAATTCGTCGTTCTCTGAAGTCTTACAATACACCGCCCAGAACCTCCGTTTCTTATTACCCTCCGTTCCTAAACCCCTATTCATCTTCATCCCGTCACACGAAAACCATATCCAAGCCTCTGTTATCTGTTCGAAACAGTTGGGTATCCATCTTAGAGTCCGTAGTGGCGGCAATGATGTGGAAGGTTTATCTTACACAACAGAAATCGACAATCCCTTCTTTATTATAGATATGTCAGCACTCCGTTCTGTTGACGTTAATATTGACGATAACAGTGCATGGGTTCAAACCGGCGCAACCCTCGGAGAACTGTATTACAGAATTGCAGAAAAAAGCGAAACCCACGGCTTTCCGGCAGTTCTTTTGAGCACTATAGGGGTCGGGGGTCACATTACCGCCGGCGCGTATGGTGCAATGGTACGAAAGTATGGTCTTGCTGCCGATAATGTTATTGATGCTCATATTATTGATGTTCATGGCCGACTGCTTGATCGTGAAGCTATGGGCGAAGATCTTTTCTGGGCAATTAGAGGTGGCGCTGGGGGTAGTTTTGGAATTATTGTTTCTTGGAAACTAAAGTTAGTTCAGGTTCCTTCTACTGTTACAGCTTTTACAGTTAAAAAAACTTTAGAACAAAATGGTAGTTAGTTCAGGTTCCTTCTACTGTTACAGCTTTTACAGTTAAAAAAACTTTAGAACAAAATGGTACTAAAATTCTTCAACGGTGGACTGAAGTGGCTGACAAGCTTGACGATGATCTTTTCCTTAGAGTTGCAATCTCACCTGCTAATATTGGTAATAGTACCGTTCGAACCGTATCAAGTGCTTATCATGGTTTGTTTCTTGGCGATGTAAACAGACTTCTCAATATTATGGAAAATAGTTTTTCTGAATTGGGTTTAACCAGAAATGATTGTGCAGAGATGAGTTGGCTCAAATCGGTTTTATATACGACGGGTTACCCACCTAATACTACGCCTGAAGTTTTACTGCAGGGTAAACCTTTATTTAAAGATTACTCAAAAGTAAAAACAGATTTTGTTAAAGAACCCATTCCTGAAGCCGCATTGGAAGGTCTTTCGAAAATACTCTTGGAAGACGAAACACCAGTTGTAACATTGATTCCTTTTGGAGGGAAGATGAACGAGATTTCAGAATCTGAAATTCCATTTCCTCACAGAAAGGGGACTTTGTTCACGATTTATTATGCATCTCAATGGGTAGATGGACAAAAGAGTGAAGCAAGGCACATTGATTGGATAAGAAAGCTTTATAATTACATGCAGCCTTTCGTTACTAATAATCCAAGAAGTGCTTATGCTGGTTTCAGAGATCTTGATTTGGGTATAAACAACAAGAATAATTTTAGCGTTACAGAAGCTAGCGTTTGGGGTATTAAGCAGAAGCTAGCGTTTGGGGTATTAAGTATTTTAAAGATAATTTTAATAGATTGGTTCAAGTGAAGACCAAGGTTGATCCAGATAACTTTTTTAGGCATGAACAGAGTATTCCACCTCTTCGTGTTTCTTAGACAAGAAAAGGAAAGCCAAGAGGTGGACTTCAGGACCAGGATTATGTACTGTTTGGGTTTAAGTGAAAGAGGAATAACAATTTATATACACAAATTCATATATATTATATTATATTGAAAGGATAATTTAAGAAATAATCTGATTTTATTATATTTGTCCTCTAGCTTTCTTTATTTTTTTTTTTCAGTTAGTGCTTCTCTTTGAGATTCCTTTTCAATGGCTATCTGAAAATCTACAAATTGCAAGCAATATAAAGAAGGAAATTACTTGCCTAGACCGGTCAAATAGTTAAAGGAGATAAATAAAAAGATCATTCATGTTTATTCGAAAAAGGAGATAAATAAAAAGATCATTCATGTTTATTCGAAACATAAATAAAGCCACGTGCCTTACGCATTAGGCAATCAATTATGGCATTAGGAAAGAAATAATGATGGTGATGGGATAAGGAATAATTTAATTAATAGATAATTGTATTTATTAAAAATAAAAGAAGCAAATAATAAATTGGATCAAAATTTAGGAACTTTAGCGGTACTGTGCCTTAAAATAAACTAAGCTTCCTTAAAATCAACATTTGCCCGTTATATGCATATTAAAAGCCCATCTTTTATTTTAGTCCCATTTCACAACCAAACCCCATCTCACTCAAAAAAAAAAAAAAAAAAAAAAAAAAACCCTTAATAATCTTTACTCTTCCATCTTTTTTGCAATTAATGTTTTGGGCTCAAATGCCACTGCAAATCTTACTCTTCATCTTTTTTGCTTTTTTCTCCATGCAATGGTTTTACTTCCATTCCCCTAAGCAAGCGCAAGAAAAAGCAATCAATTTTGGAAAAGATATTCTTAGTTTATTCCAACTCTTGTAGCATTGGCTTAGGTCTGAATTAGAATGCCTACTTAACCGGTTTATTTAGATGGTTTAGTTTGGAAGAGGGCTAAAATTCTAAAAAGAATATGGATATGGATAGCTCTCAATTCACGGTACCGAATCTCTTCATCCCTAGTACTAAACTCAAGTTATATTTATAATGTTTGTTAATTATAATTTAAGTTGTGTTTTTAAATGGTCTGCAAATGTGTGTCCAATTTTTGTTTCATTCTTATTGTTAGCCATTAGTAGGTTTTTTCTGTTAGGCTTGCATGGTGAGACTCAGGCTGATGCATATGCGTCATTGACTCAAAATTACTATAATTACATTAAACAAATATATTACATGTAGTTCCAAAATTTTTTAATGAAAATAGTATAAATAACAAAAAAAAAAAAAAAAAAAAAAAGAAGATTTTTTTAGATATACATTTGATGATTTTCAATAGGAAAGAGTAAATTTCCTACCAATTTTACATATTTAGAAATTACCAACGAATATAGCTTATTAATATTCTAAAATTTTAAATATGTTATTGTATTTTTAAAAATTCAATCAATTAAAATTTCATATATTTTCTAAAATCTTATTTAAAAAGAAATCAGAATTATTAATACTAAATCATTTCTTTGAACAAATTAAATCAGTGTTGATTATTTAAAGAATTTAGAATCCTAAAATGTTTTGAGATGTTAAGTTTGAATCTTCCGCAGGGGTTCAAAAGTTCTCCTCCAATTTTTTTTATCTCCAACGGAACGCCAGAATTTTGTAATAATGCGCAAAACTTCACTCTAGCTGGGTTTTCATTCTTGATGTGTGTGGAATCCAAGATTAACACAAGCTCAGAAAGGAAGAACTTGGGATTCGTTTGTTGAGGAAGGTCCCTCTCCTAAATGAGGTGAAGATTTTCTTCCAAAGCAAATAGGATCCATGGTTGGTGATAGTGTTATTTTATAGTAGTTTAATGTAATTTTTATTAAAGGTTTTTAGTATTTTTAATTACTTATTTAGTTTTTTATCTTAATTTTATTTACTGTTTTTCATATAAAAAACTTCCTTAAATCATAATTCATTTGATCTTAAGGAATTTATAGGGTTTTTTGCACAGAAAAGGACAAATGAGAGCAAAAATATTTTAGCACGCCCAACCCATGCCAATCAGGCACGACCGTGCTAAAACCAAGGAAAATCAAGCAAAGATTCAGACCCTACACTCCCTAACGCTGCGTATACAGTACGCCCGTGCTACAAATGCACTGATACTTCTAGAGCCAAGCACGCCCGTGCTAAAATACAAGTGCTGATTAAAGTCAAAAATTTCCCAACCATTCCTTATCAATTTTCATAGCTTTCACCTTGGATACTTTTTTGACATGCAAATTATTGGCTCAAGGGTCAATCTTTTATCTTGAGATTTTAATGATGCTATACAAAACAAATAAATTTAATATTCTTGTATTGTGCTAATATTATTATGGAGGAAAATTGTTTTGTTGAAAATTATTGAAGAGAATAAGTTTCCTACATCCCAAGATTCTTTATTTGAATGACTATGAAGATTAATGAAGATATTTTTCTATTGGTTAGTATTATAATAAGTCTTTAGGAAATTATTGTCAGGGATAGGAGGAGTAAATATTGATAATTTAAGCACCAAATCTATTTTTAGATCTTGCTAAAATTGTTTTGAAATGTTTTTGAATCAATTTATTAAGAGGATATAGCCAAAATCTTTACTCTTCAGCGTTTTCGCTATCCTAAAATATCTTTGGAGTAAATTACTTCTTGGTAGCTATCTAATGAATTCCGCCAAAAAAGTATTTTTCTGATCTAAAACAAGCATTTTCTGATTTATATAGCGTTGTTTCTTGACCTACAGCTAGCTGTTTATTGCATATAAATGTTACGACTATTTTCTAAACTGAACCTTCACCTCCCAAACCTTGGCACTGTGGTAGAATATTAAATGTGGTCCTGGACAGCGCCTTCTAATTACACCCAATGCATTGCTCTTGGGTCTAAAGAATGTCAGAAATTTCATTGCTCATTAAAGCAAAAAACTCTCAACCTGTTAAACTTCAAAGAAGAATATCATCTTTTCATATTAAAAACTATTTCCTCTCTTAAAAAAGAATCGGGTTTTGTGCAAAAAAGAGTATAGTCTATTTGCTTCAAAGTTGTATGAGTCTATTGTTCAAGTTTAAATCTCTCTAAAGCTCTCTCTTCAATCCCCCTATTTCTTCTTCATCTCTTTTGCTTCTAAGAAAAATTTATTAAGAGACAAAGGAAATTTCATTAACAAACATTTTTCTGAAGAGCAGTTTTGATCTTTAAAATCTATTTTCTAAATTCATTTTCTATTCTTCCTGTGCTTATATTTGCATGTTCTCTCTGGTCTACTATAGATTCTGTAATCTGTTGTAGACAGACTCATTTATTTTGAAAAACTTTTGTGTAATAGCTACGTGGAAAAGCTTATTATGGTGAAAGTTATCAACCGACCTTCTCCTGTGTGAGATTCTAATGTCTTGCATTTGAGTTTATGTTCTCAGCGAAAAAACAGAAAGGGTGGTTGAGCTAGAAACCATTCTTGAAAATTCTAGTGGGATAAAAGGTTAAATCTACGGTTGTGGATCTATTTCCTTGTATTGTTTTAGTTTGTCTCTACCCTTGAAAAAGACGATAACATAGTGAGGATCTCAAGATGCGTCTTGGGAATGAGATTGTAGGCGAGTTAGTGCCAAAACCACTTATTAAATCACTGTGTCTTTTATCTTCTTTTACCTTTTCTAAAGTTCTGCTTGATTTATATTCTATTTAGCGCAACTGTTTAATCTGTTATAGAAATGCAAAGTTGTTTAATGGAGTTTCTGATTTCTAATCGTGAATAAGCTTTTTATCTCTGTGGAACCATTAGAACTCCTGGATTTCGTATGTGATTATACCAAGTTTCTAATCTGTCCTTCTATACTTCAGTGTAATTTCACAATTATGAAATTATAAATCAGGTTTTCTGAATCTTGCTTAAAGCTTTGTAACCAGTTCACAGAGTCTTTCTAAAAATTGCTTTAAGCTTTGTGAAGAGTTCTAAATGCAATAATTGTTCTTTCACAGAGTCTTTTCTAATCTTGCAATTAAGCTTTGTGAGGAAGTTCTTAAACTTGATAATAATCTCACAAATATTTTCTTATTCTGCTGGCAATTAGAATGTCTGATTTTGTTTTTTGAAAGTTAACATTTTTAGAAAACCCAATTCACCCCCCCTCTTGGGTTGTGATACCCATAAATTGGGACCCACAATCTAGTAATCAAGAGCTCTCTCTTGACTTACCAAAACTTTAACCCGCTTGAGAGAAAAGATCTCATGGTAGCCCTACTTCCTCTTACATCTTTTTAGAAGGTCAATCTTTTCTTAGACCACCTCTATTTTCAAATGGCTCCTAATTACTCTTTTGGGAAAATCAGGAATGGAAAACTTTATAAAATCAGTTGATATAAAATTGCTGGAGAAATTAGTGATATAACTAATCTTCGTATTCCTATGAAAACTGTAGGACAATGTAAGAGCTTCTAAAAACAGAAAGAAGAATATAAAGAGCTTGATTGAATGACATATCTATCAAATGAAAAAAGCCATTAATATTCTTCACTGTGCACTTAGATTCCAACAGAATATTAACCAAAGTTTCTGAATTGTTAAGTCTGCAATGGAAGTCTGGGAAAAACTTAGAGTCACCTATGAGGGTACTGACCGAGTGCAAGGAATCCCAAGGAATTAATATCCTTTGGAGAGAATATGAACTGTTTAGTATGAAAGAAGGGAAGAGACAATAGCTGAACTAAATTCCGTGATTTCACATATATAGTTATCCTTTGAGAACTCTTTTGGAAAGGAAATTTTTAAAAGATGAGCTTGTTAAGAAAATCCTCAGAATTCTACCTAAAAAAACTGGGAATTCTATAGGAAACTGTAATGAACTATAAAGAAACTCCAATAACTTATTTTTTTTGATTATTTGATAGGAGCTCTTTGTTTCAAAGAGAGAAATCTTCTCTTGA